GTGTATGTTGTTGATCGTTGTGTGGGTGGTGTATGTTTGTATGATCGTGTGTGCGTGGGTAATGTTGTATGTTCGTGTGTGCGGGGTTGTTGTTGTATGTTCGTGTGTGGGGGGTGGTGTTGTTGTATGTTCGTGTGGGGGTGGTGTATGTTGAAGTTCGTGTGTGCGTGGTGTATGTTGTATGATCGTGTGTGGGTGGGTATGTGTATGTTCGTGTGTGGGTGGTGTATGTTGTTGATGTGTGTGGGTGGTGTATGTGTATGTTCGTGTGTGGGGGTGTATGTTGTATGATCGTGTGTGGGTGGGTATGTTGTATGATCGTGTGTGGGGGGGGTGTATGTTGTATGATCGTGGGTGTGGGTGGGTATGTTGTATGATGGTGTGGGTGGTGTATGTTGTATTTTCGTGTGTGGGGTGTTGTTGTATGATCGTGGTGGGGGTGTATGTTGTATGACGGTGTGGGTGGTGTAGTTGTTGATCGTGGTGGGTGGGGTATGTTGATGATCGTGTGTGGGTGGTGATGTTGTATTTTCTTTGGGGGGTGGGTGGTGTATGTTGTATGATGTGTGTGGGTGGGTGTAGTTGTATGTCGTGTGTGGGTGTGTATGTGTAGTTCGTGTGTGGGTGGGGGTTGTTTTTATGTCGTGGTGGGTGGTGTATTTTGGGTTTTTCGTGTGGGGTGGGTATTTTGTATGTTCGTGTGGGGGTGGGATGTTTTTGTCGTGTGTGGGGTGGCATTTTGGGTATGATCGTGGTGGGTGGTGTATGTTGATGATCGTGTGTGCGTGGTGTATGTGCATGGTTCGTGTGTGCGTGGGTATTTTTGGGTATGTTCGTGTGGGGCGGGTGCATGTTGTATGTCGTGTGTGGGGGTGGGGCATGTTGTATGTTCGTGGTGGGTGGTGTATGTGTATTCGTGTGTGCGTGGTGTATGTTTTTATGTTCGTGTGTGGTGATGTATGTTGTATGTTCGTTTTGTGGGTGGTGTATGTTGTATGATCGTGTGTGGTGGTGTATGTTGTATGTTCGTGTGTGCGTGGTGTATGTTGATTTTCGTGTGTGCGTGGTGTATGTTGTATGATCGTTGTGTGGTGGTGCATGTTGTATGTTCGTGTGTGCGTGGTGTATGTTGTATGGTTCGTGTGTGGGTGGTTATTTTGTATGATCGTTGTGGGTGGGCTGTGTATTTCTTTTTGTGCGTGGTGTATGTTGTATGATCGGGGTGTGGGTGGTGTATGTTGTATGTTCGTGTGGCGTGGGGGTATTTTGGTATGTTCGGGGTGTGCGTGGGTATGTTGTATTTGTGTGTGGGTGGTGTTTTTGTTGTTCGTGTGTGCGTGGTGTATGTTGTATGATGTGTTGTGGGTTTTGGTGTATGTTGTATGTTCGTGTGTGGCGGGGTGTATGTTGTATGTCGTTTTGTGGTGGTGTATGTTGTATGTTCGTGTGTGGGTGGTGTATGTTGTATGTTCGTGTGGGGGGTGGTGTATGTTGTATGTTCGTGTGTGGGTGGTGTATTTTGTATGTTCGTGTGTGGGGTGGTGTATTTGTATGTTCGTGTGTGGGTGGTGTATGTTGTATGATCGTGTGTGGGTGGTGTATGTTGTATGATCGTGTGTGCGTGGTGTATGTTGTATGTTCGTGTGTGCGTGGTGTATGTTGTATGTTCGTGTGTGCGGGGGTGTATGTTGTATGTTCGTGTGTGGTGGTGTAGGGTTGTATGTTCGTGTGTGGTGGTGTATGTGTATGATCGGGGTGTGGGTGGGTGTATGTTGTATGTTCGTGTGTGGGTGGTGTATGGTTGTATGATCGTGGGGTGGGTGGTGTATTTTGTATGTTCGTGTGTGGGTGGTGTATGTTGTATGATCGTGTGGGGTGGTGTATTTTTAAAGTCGTGTGTGGGTGGTGTATGTTGTATGATCGTGTGTTGGGTGGGGGTATGTTGTATGATCGTGTGTGGGGGGTGTATGTTGTATGTTTCGTGTGTGGGTGGTGTATGTTGTATGATCGTGTTTTGGGTGGTGTATGTTGTATGATCGTGGTGGGTGGTGTATTTGTATGTTCGGGGTTTGGGTGGTTTGTATTTGTATATCGTGTGTGGGTGGTGTATGTTGTATGTTCGTGTGTGGTGGTGTATGTTGTATGATCGTGTGTGGTGGTGTATGTTTATATCGTGTGTGGGTGGTGTATGTTGTATGTTCGTGTGGGGGGTGTGTATGTTTTTTATATCGTGGGGTTGGTGGTGTATGTTGTATGTTCGTGTGTGGGTGGTGGTTGTTGTATGTTCGTGTGTGGGTGGTGTAGTTGTATGTTCGTGTTGGGTGGTGTATGTTGTATGTTCGTGGTGTGGTGGTGTATTTTGTATGATCGTGGTGGGTGGTTATGTTGTATGTTCGTGTGTGGGTGGTGTATGTTGTATGATCGTGTGTGGGTGGTGTATGTTTTATGTTCGTGTGTGGTGGTGTATGTTGTATTTCGTTGTGGGTGGTGTATGTTGTAT